TTTACAAAGTTATTTTCTTGCTATACAGAAAATATATTATTTGCTGGAAGTCCCTGCTGAGCTGTTAGGGACCCAGGGTCAGTCACTGCTCAGGGAACCCCCCCGAAGGCACGCTGACCCCTACTGCTTCCCCACCAATTTGCTGAACACGTCGTAGATCTCCGGCTTTTCCTGCGCAAACTGCTCGGCTGTATTTTTCTGGAGCCAGTCGGACGAACGCATCTGTTGCTGCAGGAGGCCAATGAGGTCACCAAGGTTGGAGCTACCAGCACAGGTAGGCTCCTGGTGGCGGGACACAAAAATGACTTCATCTGTGCTATCTGCTTTGCCATCCTGATCCGACTGACAAGGCTGCTCCCCCTCCCCAGACCGGGTTTCTTCCAACACCTTGCGGATCCGTTGCATACCTGCAGTGGTGTAAGGAAGAGAAACACTTTTGGATAAGTTTAAGCCACGAGTGTCCCCGAATCCATCGGATCCAGAAAAATTTGGAGGATGGAAGGAAAGGGAGGAAAACCAGAGAAGACAAGAGGACAGGAATAACAGGCTAGGTTTAGGATCAAGGAGAGGAGGAAACAGTGCTGCAGAAATGCTGGTGGGAGGAAGAAGAGAAGAAAACATTACTCACCTAACTGTAGCCGGTGGGTCTTGTCAGCAAAGATGATGCGGAACCATCCGGGTTCACTGCACTCAAAGGCTTTACCACAGGACAGGAGGACCTTGTTATCCAGAAAACGCTTCCAGAGCAGCATCTCCTCCTCAAACGTGCCTGTCCTAAGGTACTAGGAGAATCAGCAGAAGGGCCAGAGGTTAGTAACATATAGGGTAACTCACCGAGATCCTCATGAATTTGTGATTCCCATGAGGTCTGCAAAGGCCAGGGGAGACACCTTTTACCTCTGAAGTACAGCAGTTGGGATATAAAGGAAGAAATGGGGAGGAAAGTGGCTTGAGAGCAGTAAGATTCCTGCAAGGAGGGAAACGCACAGACAGACTGAAGGAAAAGAACGGAGAGAAACACCAGGCAGCCCTTCCCTCTGCTCATCAGACAACAGATGGGGCTTTAACAAAATGTTTATCACAATATTAAACCTTCCTCTAGACGCAGTTGCACCACGTGCCTGCCCTCATCCCAGGAGAAGCCTCCCTTCCTGAGGCTACCAACCTTTCGGAAATCAATCCAGACAAAGAAGCCTGCATTGCGGTTGAGAAAAGGAACCCCAAGTGTCTTCAGCTCATCTGTCACATATGTATGGGCAGCTTTTAGGCGGGCGTGGTTGGCCCTCAGGTATACCTGGTTGATCCAATCTGACCAGAAGGAGAAGATAAAGAAGAAAAAAAAAAAATAAATTAAAATCTCAAATTGACAAAGAATTCAGATCTGTTCAAGTTTCCGAAACACTCCTTTTTCCATGTCACCCTTCACCTCCTGTTTTTGATTTCTGTTTCCTCAAAAAGCAAAAACAGGGGCAAGAACTATTTAGGAGTTTCACATCTGTGCAGAGTAACATCTTCACCTCTCTGAAGAAGCTTCCCTACATTCATGGCACCTAGTTGTTGTGGACTGTCAGCACCCCACCAGGGCAAAGCTGGAAATCCAGATGGTTCTACACAGCGCTGGCTGTTCCTATACAAATAACTATCACACTTCCTCAGAGCTGCTCCTCTAATTCTGCTGATCAGAAGCTCTGCAGAAACGTCCCGTTTTTGTGGAATTGTCAGCCATGTGTTACGCAGGCAGCTTTAGGATTATGGGAAGTCAGGCTGAGAGAGTTGGGGCTGTTCAGCCTGGAGAAGAGAAGGCTCCGGGGTGACCTTATTGCAGCCTTCCAGTACCTAAAGGGGACCTACAGGAAAGCTGGAGAGGGGCTTTTTACAAGGGTGTGTAGTGATAGGACAAGGGGCAATGGCTTTAAACTGAAAGAGGGGAGATTTAGATTAGATATAAGGAAGAAATTTTTCACTCTGAGGGTGGTGAGGCACTGGAACAGGTTGCCCAGAGAAGTTGTAGATGCCCCATCCCTGGCAGTGTTCAAGGCCAGGTTGGATGAAGCTCTGAGCAACCTGTTGTAGTGGAGGGTGTCCCTGCCCATGGCAGGGGGGTTGGAACTAGATGGTCTTGAGGTCCCTTCCAATCCAAACCATTCTATGATTCTGTCAATTAAGCTGTACAAACGTTTAGGAAAGTAAGAGGAGAGGATTCCCCCAGAGACCAAGATACAGAGAACAGCAGAGGATCCTACGTGAAGCCACCAACTCACCTCTGTCTCTAAGCAGCTGTGCCACCTTGTGCTGGACAGGTCCGCAAACCCCGTGGAAATAACACAAAGAAGCCACTGCGTTAGCAACATCTTGGTTCTCTGTATACAAAGTACCAAAACGAATCCCAGAGACGGCAAAATCCTGCAGGAGACACGGAGAGACAACTTTATAGCACAGGAAGACTGGGATCCTGTTACTGCTGCCTTGTTCTTTCCAGCATGAGGAACTCGAGGGCTCCAGGCCATCCGTACTGGCCGGGAAGCTGCGGCACGG